TCATGGTAAACAGCGCCAGATAGAACACTAATACGTTTTCTATTTTGGAATTTTAACGGTTTGCCAGGAAATCTCGACCTTCCCATTTTGATTTGCACGTAAACGAAGGACACTCAGTGCGTTTCCAGCGAACGCGAGGAAACTGGCGCGCATGCTCCGGCCCGCGCGCTCCGCAACGCCATTTCACTCATTTATGCAATGTATACAACTAAATTGCGACGCAGTTTTCATCACATGTACGCTCGAATATAAACATTAACTGCACCCTTCACATTATTTACTAAAACGATCACTTCACACTCTTTTTGCAAAAGACAACACCATCCATCATTTTAATGGTCACTGGTTGTTAGCGCCGTAAGTCGTAACGCTTCCATTCAACGAAGCGTCATGCTAGTATTGAAACAAAAGAGAATGTAGAAAATGTACACGATTCCACTGCACGACACGTTTGTTGCACTATAATCGCGGTATGTTCCATTTGATTATCACAAACAAATCGAAATAATGTAATTGAATCGCCCGTAATTTGACAAAGATGGCTGTACACCGCGCTTTAACAATAGCGAGCAAGAGTGATTAACGAGACGAGGCGCGAGGCCGCGGTGTGAACGACACCTGGCTCTCGGAGGCCAGTTATGGATTTTGAACCAATCGCGACGTTAATTCGGACCGGTATGAAAACAAACATGTCGCTCGCTACTTCTTGCTTCGCGTAACTCGCTCTAATCTATCTATAGACGCCTTGGTGTTTTACTTCCATCAATAAAAATGTTATGATCTACTATGTTAATCTGCGCATGTAGAGCGACATGACATGTATAGGTACTCACCTACTTTTATCAATGCATTCTTTGACTTGACCGTGATATTATTGATTTTAATTCTTTATTCATGTAATGGAAACATTTTTGTACTTGTACTATGTATGGATTAGATACCTACGTAGGTAGGTAGGTTAGGTAGGTACCTTACTTGAATAACGGGTATTCTTGGTTTTGTTTATTGACACTATTTTAATTGAAAGGTAGGTTTATGTAGGTAGATAGGTATAAAAAAATAAAAATATAATTTCCTTATCTTTTATCTATTTTAAAGAGGTAAGTAGTAGGTAGGTAGGATTAAATTGTAATTGATTTATCTAAGTGTAGGTACCTACCTACTTTAGGGTAGGTAGATCATACTACTTCCTCCCGGAAGTGAGCTTTAAGTACATATTCCATTTTTTTCGCACTTACCTAGCTATATTCTTTATCTAATATTTTATTTGACAGCAATGCAAAATTGAAATAAATAAAAGTGATAAATTTTAAATTTAATTCAAATAAGTTAATTAGGTAATGTACTGTATTCAAAACTATCGTAAGCTTACTAAGCTTACATTATACTAATATTACCCTACCTATTGTTTGAAAAAGTAAAAATACTTAGGTATTAAAAAAATACAATCAACGTATTGTGCGTGTGCCTGTATCAGTACCATACCATTATTATCTCAAAAACATGTTTCAAATTTAATTCGTTTCACTACGCAACGCAACAAGGTCCAAAACCGCATAATTCTAAACGCTCAACTCAACACGCGCAGTTACGTATATGTATAGTACCCGCACCCTACACAACAGGGAGAACCCCAAAACTCTCGGTCGATCATGCGTAAAGGGCGGAGAAGGGATGCTAAAGGGAAGAGCCGCCGGTGATTGAACCCTTACATACACATCTATAGCTACACTAGGAACACATTATTACAATCAAGATAAATAAAATAACTTCCTAAAGTAAAATAATTCTTTGAGTATAGACTGACCTCTAGCGTGAGTTATGAGAACCAAAAGTTCCTTGCTGAAACGCTTCCTGAAATAGGTACATTGAGGACGGGCGGCATTTCCTTGGACTTGGATCGAAGCGAGACAATTCAGATTCACAGACAACAATTTTAAAGTTATTTTCACTTAAAAACCACAACTTTTTTCACACACTACACTTGTACTCACTGTTGGTGTTTTGAAAATAACAAACTGTGTGTAAATATTATGGCAGGAGTATTATTTACATCAGTTTCGTTGCACTGGTGTTCGTGCGTGAAACTGTAGTAGCGAGACTGGCGGAGAGACGCCGCGCATGCCGCGAGGGACACGATGTAAATATAAAAATGGACAAACTCCCCTTCTGGGGGCTCACCCATATGAATCACTGTAATCCACGTAGCACTCTTGTTCTCGGTTGAATTTTTTTGTGTAGGGTTTATCGGAACCCACATGCGGTAGGACGTAAACCGGAGATTGTACACTCTTACGGTTCAGATTTGAGTAGTTTTGAATTTTGATGTAAACTTCCGTGTAGCACTTAACAAAATATTGATCGACGCGACTCACGTCGTCTGTGGACATTTTTCACTGAGATCTTTTCGGAAAGGATAATCACTGTAGATCAGCCGCTTACTATCCATATTGTGTCCAAATCTGAAGCCCCCTTCCACGAAGCAGGTAGATGTTTTTTGTATTGTTTGGGTCGCAGCCTGCGGACAAGGTAGGTAAAAAATGATACATACCTACCTACTTGCATTTACATTGGTAATCGTGGGGTAGACAGATCGATATTTTGAAAGAATTTGTTTTGCCGAAACCCGAAACAATGTTACATACCTACCTACATAAAGCACAAATAGGTAGGATGTAATTGGAATTAATTAGCATAACTTTAGCTATTCTAATCAATGATTTAGTTATGATAGGTAATTAGGTAGTTGTTAATGTTAGGTATTTTAAAACTATAAAAGAGGCGCGTTTAAATTAACGATTAATTTGAAATATGAATAAACTAATAGGTATTTAAAATTAATTTTCATAATAGTTAATAGGTCTAGATAAATTGTGTAGATGTTTTTTTTTAATTCTTTCCGAAAACAATATAAGTAGGTAGGTACCAAACTAAAGTAAATGTACCTACTTAATCGATTTTTGATTGGATTTTTTGATTGGGATGCAAAATTAACTAATAATTATTGTAGATTTAACAAATTTATTTTTCGGTTTATTCCCACACTGTCCCCAGTCCCCAATCCTGCGGCAGGTGAATAAAAAATTAATAAATATATTTTAACTATTTATTAAAATAAATAATAAAATTAGTAGGGTCAGCGGGAATAAACCCTTTTGTCACCTTAGAAACATGACTGAAATAAGCGAAAGGTTCAAATTTTGTTTCTTTTGTTACCATCAAAGACGGAGAAAAAAATGTAGTAGGTTTTGACCGAACTCAGGAAAACTTATAAAGTACTTTACTTCACTGTGGCTTAAGGCAGTAAAATCAAATACCTAAATTAGTTTTAGTAGCCTGAATCTAATCATCCATCTTCGACCGGTTGAAGTCTTTACTTAAATAATCTATTTTCCTTTTCCTTTCCCAGATTGCCACAAGGCTCTGTTATCAAATAGAGCTTTTATTAGTTTGGCATAATGATAACTGATGACGACACACCAACTCCAAGCAGTGGCATTTTATGTAGCTAGGACCTACAAAAAACTTTTTTACATACTCACTTTGTCGGTGTAAGTGTTACGGTTAATGTGATAAATTGAAAATTATTAATAATAACCGGTTATTATGAATAATTCCCGACAGTCGCGGTAAAAGTGATAAATTAATCACATTTAACAGTGATTATTTAATAATTCAACCTTAGTACTAACAAATTTCATAAAAGAGAACAACATCTTGTGTACGTGCTCGTGTACAGCCAAACTTTTGAACGTTTTGATATCATATATTAATATAATTTGGCATAATAAGTTTGGAATGTTTCTTGCATAATATTACTTTTCCATGATGCCCATAACATAATGTTTTGATTTAAAGTGAAAAATAGGTTAAGGTGCGGCGGGGGTGGCCCTTGGGCCACCCCTAAGCCGCCTATTTAGTTTTATACACACATAAATGACCTCATATTAATCACATTTACCAAATCATGCGGTAATTATTCATAATAACCGGCGATTATTCATAATTTTCACATTTATCACTTTGACCGTAAAGCAAGTCTTAGTGTTAAAGCTTTAATAATCTAAGGTGTTAAATTATTTAACTAGCTGTTCCCGTGATTTCTTACGCATGAAAATATGCAGTTTGAATAATATTTTTCGTTTTTGCAACATTTTTCTTTACTGCCTCGCTCCTATTGGTCTTAGCGTGATGATATAAAATATAGCCTTCCCCGATAAATGGGCTATTTCTATTTTACTTTTTACTATACACTGAAAGAATTTTTCAATCGGACCAGTAAGTTTAGCGTTTCATTAGCGCGTTCAAGTAAACAAACGCTTCAGCAGTCAGCTTTTTAATATCAGTCAGTATAGATATAAATAATAGTTTAAATTTAAAGTACCTTTAAGTTAAAAACTAAAAAGTGGCAGAAGAAATTCAGTCAGTTTATTAGTTTTCTTCTCTCGCTATCATCAAATGGTATTTCTTTGTGATAGAGCGAGATGACGTGACCGGAAATGGGTAGCGTTTGGCGGAAAATAACGCTAGTTGGCGCTAGCAAAGTAAAATGGCGTCCTTTTTAGCGGTAAGTTCTGTCACTGTCAAAAAAATATGAACGAGACGACATGACAGGCAATGGATAGTTATCACGGTTAACACCACAGGTTAACACTGTGGCCGATGGTACCTTCCTAAGCGCGTCTGGATTGGAGACATTAAAAATTACCGTAATCGGATGAAAATTTTTTAGCGTAATCGAGGCCCAGCTGAGGTGCAAATTCGGTATCACGGTAAAGTTCACACGCAAACAAAGACAAAACAACGGATCATGACGGACGTATGTCTCTTTTTCTCTCTCATTAAAGATGTAAAAGAGAAAGATATACTGTCACGGCGACAAAAAGTCAACCGTTGTGTGCGCCTAGCCTTAGACTTGACAACTGGCCAAGTACAATTGGTGCAGCGCTACTACTAAAAAAAAAGTTGATTCATTTTTGACATTTGTTTCATGTCAAAAAAATGTCAATTATTCGCGCCAATTTCACTGTGACTGTAGAAGAAAGGATCAAGCTCTTTATCAATTTTAATTAAAATTAATCGATTTTTTCAATTTTTCTACACTGTTTCGCGTAGCATACAACTTATTTTCCAAGATATTCAAAATGCCTGTTGAAGACGTGCGTCCCGTTCTGAAATTTACGCGATTGACTGAACATGCTTTTGCGCCGCTCAAAGGCTCTGAAAAAGCTGCTGGTTTTGATCTGAAAAGGTTCGTTGTTCATCTTCAAAAGTTCATGATTTTAAGATATTTTTTCCTCTATCTTACTTTTGAAGTCGCTTATAAATCTAACTCCGTACTGTTTTCTCTTTTCAGTGCATATGATTACGTAGTTCCAGCACGGGGCAAGCTTCTCATCAAAACTGATTTGCAAATTGAGCTGCCTCCAGGTTGTTATGGTCGCGTCGCGCCTCGATCTGGGTTAGCATTGAAGAACTTTATTGATGTTGGTGGTATGTACTCTTTCATCACAACACAGTAATATTGCTGGTTATCAGCCATGACCATAATTATCATATTTGCAAATCCTTACATTTTGTCCTCCTATTGACTATCTTTACAATCATTTCAGTACAATAAGATTGTAGTCTAGATAGTCAAATTAAAAGTAAAGATATATTCTTCGAGTAGATGTTATTTCATTTTGTTGCTGATCTTCATGTTTAAAGTAATCATAATGTTTTCTTACAGCTGGTGTTATTGATGAAGATTACCGTGGTAATGTTGGTGTAGTTCTTTTCAATCATTCTGACCAAGAATTTGTAGTGACAAAAGGAGATCGAATTGCTCAGCTGATATGTGAAAGAATATATTATTCTGAATTGGAAGAAGTCTCCAATTTGTCAGAAACCAAAAGAGCTGATGGAGGATTTGGTTCTACTGGAAAACAATAAATACACAATTAGATTGTTGTAAGTCATCTGATTAGTTGATAAGCTTATGGATAATAATATTTTTTACTTCATAGTTTATATTCTAAACTCTCAACTTTAGAATTATGCTGAAAGTACACTATGTGGGAAATGAAACACATAATGACAAAGAAGAAACTGTCCAGTATGTTTTTATGTTGATGCAGGTTGCCCAATTTCGCACATAGTGTACTCCCAGCATAAGGTGTAACAAATCCTACTTGGTACTATGTGAACACCAAAGTATTTCAGCTTCTAGAGAAAAAAAAATGTTTTGTGAATGTGATGAAAAAATTGGAATTAGGTTTTTGAAATAAAAATTGCAGTCAATAATATTCCAATATTTAGATTTTGGATAGTATTTCATAGGACATAATTATAAGTTCATTTCTTTGTTCCTATTTTAATAATATGTTTGATGTTTCATTATTATAGTGAACAATAAAAGCAAGTTTTCCAACAAATGATGTTTATTCAATTCAGTCAGTGTGTAGGTGTAAAAAATATAGGTAAGGTAGGTACTTATTTAGCATTTAGAAAAAGTTAATCATTTTATGATATCAATTTTAATGATTTATTAATTTCTTAAAGTACTTAGTATTAGAGATGAAACGGATAGTTGTTTGGCCGGATACCGGATATCCGGCCAGCTGCTAGGCCGGATAGCCGGATATCCGGCGGTCGGATAGTTGGCCCATTGTCTCGTTTCATGTCGTGACGAGTTTAGCGATAGCGCCGCACAGGTGCTTCGAACGCGATTAGTGGGTCTATTATTAGACTAGACTAGTCACACTTTTCGAAAATCGAATCTGTCCGAATAGAATGTCAGATTTTGCCACTTGTCTAGGGGGCAGATCAATTCGAGCGATTTCGGTTGATATCGTGAGTGTGTGATTGAATAGCGAAAATTAAATTAGTTTACTTGCTGCGTAATCTGACTGAACTGCATGCATCATGTCATCAAACCATCAGGGGTCATCCATAAAGTACGTCACACGTAAAGAGGGGGGGAGGGGGTTGACAAAGTGTGACATGGTGTGACAAGGGGTGGGAGCAGAGAGCAGAAATAACAGGAGTGGAACTGACAGGCAATCCCCTCTAGCAATGTAAGTAGACCAGTGGTTCACTCAGTTTATAAAAACTAGTTGCAGCGCCACCAATGACATATTCCAAATGTCACTATTGAAGAGTAACGTGCTGCGATAAAAATGGTGAATTGCAGTGTTTTTAATTGTAAGAAGAGATCTGAAACATCAAATCTTGAAAAGGACAACATTACATTCCATCGGTAAATATTATTTTATTTATTTCACATTAATTAATACACTAAATTTGCAAAAAACTAAATTTCTAGAAGTGTTGCCACTGGAATGACTGGAAAGCAAAAATTCCTAATTGTGTAATATTTTAAGGATAGTGTACTTATAACAATATAATCGAAATTCTATGCAAACAATTTGATACTGCCAATAGGTGTTCTCTTTTATGATATTTGTTAGTATTAATACATTATTAATAATCACTGATAAATGTAAATTCATTTATTACTTTTACCTCGACTGTCGGGAATTATTCATAATAACCGGCGATTATTAATAATTTTCAATTTATCACATTTACCCTGACATAATAAACGTGTTAAGTAAGTTCCCGCTATTTTACAGATTTCCAAAAGATCCAACTACTCGCAATATCTGGATCTTATTATATGTACATAATATCTTAGTTCATAGCAACAACAATAATTTTGTAATATTTTTATTTGGCTTTGGCTTTAAAAATAAATGAATCTAACAAATACAGATTTTGTGTTTTTACTTAAATTCAAACCTTGGTAGCGACCCCTAAATGTCTTTTAAAAATTAAAAAAAAAATAATGAAAGACTTTCATATGGTATATATTCAAATTACGTGGTGCCCCGCAAAATATAAGAAAAAAAATTTTTTTCGTAGGAATAAGGACCACCCTAATGGGTAGGGTAGGGTAATGGTGGTAGGGTTAATACTGGGACGTGTAAAAGTGCTTTTTAAGAGCCTATATAAATGACTTTTTAGTTTTTTTCATATAACTCTTAACTTTCACAATTCGTATTCGTGCTAGGGAAGAAATGCCAAACTTTTGCGTATTTTCCTTTAAATAGAGATCTGAAATGTTGAATCTCCCATAGGATAATAAATTAATTCATATCATTTTTTTAAACGAGCCATAGACTATGAACCATAGAGCAATGATTCTCATCGACAAAAATATCGATAGTGTCTCAGCGCCATCAGCTGTTACACAAATGTCATTACCTCGTCCCCCTCAGGAAATGGCGAAATTTTTTTGTATGGAAATAAACGCGCGCTGCTACTCCTGTTATTTCTGCTCTCTGGGTGGGAGGGGTCTTAAGTTTCGTGACATCACATTTTAATTGTTTCAAATATTTGATATAATGTTGATTTCATATAAAAAAATACTTAATTTAAATAGAAATAAAACTAATTTCGGAACTGCTGTTAATTTAATAATTTTTCGATGTGAAATTGCAAAACATGTGACGTCACACTAGGGAGGGGGGGGTCTCAGAAATGTGACCACCTGTGACAAGGACGGAGGGGGGGTCAAAAAATCATGAAATTCGTGTGACGTACTTTATGGATGGCCCCTCAGTGAAAAAAAGATCGCCTTTTTTATTTGGCAATATTTCGACATTAACAGATATTATTTACTACAGGGTGGCCCAGAAGAAAATTCACTTTTGAAAATTCAATGAAACGAAAACTGTACATTTTTGTAGAACTTTAACTATTGCAATTTAAAGAAAATTTAGTGCAATTTATTTTAAAATTTACTTCCTTTTATAATTTTTATCGTACATGTGATTCCCTTGACGTTTACAACATTCGGTCAACATACATCAAAATTTTGTAAAACTTTCGTTAGGATTTACCTCGAAATGGATTCAGGATGGATGAATTCTGCAGAGTTTTTGGATTATTAGAGTATACTCTGCTCGGGTTCCCTACGTTTTATCGAAAGTCGTTTCATCGAAGGTCGTTTCATCGAAGCCGTTTCATCGATTGGTCATAATCTCGAACGTACGAAATATCGAATGTCGTATCATCGAATGGTCACATTATCGAATAGTCGAATCATCGAATATCTTAGCGTCAAAAGGTTATGTATGTATTAAAGAGTTACCTACTTACTAATAAAAGTTAGTAACTCGCTGAACACTTGTTTACACTTTAGAGTGACGTTTAATATGGAAATAATAA